AATAATTCATTGTTTATAAAAATAATGAAAAAATCAATGAAAAAAAAAAATTTTTCTCTAAAAATGAAATTCAATATCTCCTTTTTCTAAATAAATCGCCAAAAAGTAATATTTCTAACATTTAGTATTTTTTATTAATTTCCTTAGACGCGACTGAAGCTTTTGTCAATAGTGAAGCTTCAGTCGCGAATAACTTTTTATCTATCTTAGATATGTTCAGTGCTTTTTTTTTATTAAAATTACATTCTGAACAACTTTTATTTAAAACATTTTTTCATATCTATCATAGAAATCGAGAAATTCGCGAGGGGGGGCGGGTTTTCGCGATTTACTCCCTCCCTATGTGTGCCAAGCATTTTTGACCTGCACTATCGTATTCCTCGCGGAATTTCCAATCTAGTCATCTATAAATCACTACTTTGGCCGGAGCGAATCATATTTATCCCATTCCCCTCATTTGATTGGACTATACAATTATCCTAAGGACACAGAAATATGACATTTTGCGTTTGTTAATGTATTCATAGCCTCTCATCCTCAATGAGTCTAAACCTCTTTGACCTTGACTCAAGCCACCCCACAAAATAAAGAAATTCATAAAATTGATAAACGACTTAAAATGATTTTTTTTGTCATTGATTAACGTGTGAGACTAAATAATTTGTGGCTTAGCGCTACGTTACGAAAAGAAATTCTTTCGATCGTATTATAACTAAAGCACGTGCAACATAGGCGTCAAACGCCATAGTTGTAGACAGTATTTTGTTTTTGTAATTCGAACTAAATCACGGTTATTTTTGATCATTAATTATTGTACAATAAATAATTTATTCATCATAATTGAATACATAATATTAAATAATTTATTGCTGAGCGCTGAGTTTGGAGATGAACTTTTAACAGTAAAAGAGTCTGACTGCAGAAGCTCGAGATATTGAAATATGCAACAATAATTGTTGTAATTATAAGAAAATTATAATTACCTCTATGGATTTTTTATTGTTCAATTAATAATTTATCTATCATCATCAAAGATATGATATTAGATAGTTTATAGCTAATAGTCCAGTCAAACGAGGGAAATGAGATAATTTTGGTTTGCTGCGGCCAAATTAATGATTTATAGATGACTGGATCGGAAATTTTGTGAGAAACACAATGGTGTAGGTTAAAATTGTTTGGCACGCATAGGGGGGAAGTAAATCGCGAAAAACCGCCCCCCCCCCTCGCGAATTTCTCGATTTCTATGATAGATATGAAAAAATGTTTTAAATAAAAGTTGTTCAGAATGTAATTTTAATAAAAAAAAAGCACTGAACATATCTAAGATAGATAAAAAGTTATTCGCGACTGAAGCTTCACTATTGACAAAAGCTTCAGTCGCGTCTAAGGAAATTAATAAAAAATACTAAATGTTAGAAATATTACTTTTTGGCGATTTATTTAGAAAAAGGAGATATTGAATTTCATTTTTAGAGAAAAATTTTTTTTTTTCATTGATTTTTTCATTATTTTTATAAACAATGAATTATTTAAATCATTCCCATTTTGGTTCAAATGCACCGATCAGCCGATTTTGGGCTCAAAATGTGCAGAATTAAAAATGGAACATTTCATCCATGCAAAGTTTTTTATTATTTTGCACCTGTTAAAAGTTATACAGGTATAAATATTTGGTAAGTGTAGCAGCTCCACGTATTTAAAAGTACAACAGTAATTGTTGTAATTATTATAAGATTACTTTTCATCTATTTATTAATTACTGAATATTTAATCATTAAATTACTTCATTAGTAATGGTCACTAATTTAAATTGACCAATACCAATGGGTATAACAGTAACTTTTTTATTATTAATATAATTATTTATATTTTGAAATTTTTAAATTTAATAAGAAAAAAATTTTAGCATGAGTACTTCGTATACTTAATTTAAGTATATAATATACTTGCAGTGAAGAATTGATATACTTGAATCAAGTAACAAGTATTTTTTTATTAATAAAAAAGGATTCATAATGTGAGAACATGGTGTTTAAAGTGTAAAACAGCATTATACTTAGCATAAGTACGCTTTATACGGGATCTCCGTATAAAATACACTTGTGGTAAGTAAGGAAGATTCTCAGTGTAAGAAAAACTATATTATCAACTGAAGTAAACTTTGTAATCTTCTTCTATTATCTACCTACTTGAGATAAACAAAATACATTGGCTCACATTATACTGATTCCAAGTAGAAAGACTACTTAAATACAAGTACTTTATTTTCATAAAACTTGTATACTTTTTACTTCTTCAACCGCTTGTAGTCTACTCAGGAGTGGTATATTCTGTATTTAGACTAAGTTTTTTTTTTTATTCATTTTAAAACGAAGTTTTACTGATTCCAGGTACTTTCTTTACCTGCCTTCCGAAACTTTTTTACCTATCACTTTTATACTGGGGACAAGTAAATCGTATAATTCGCCACCGGAAAAAATTTCTGTCAGTGTATACAAAAAATTGTTGTTTACGTCAGTCCGGCATTAATTCCTCTGTAATTTGGTACCTAATTTTATAGAAATAATAGCAAATTGGTGAAGAAATTAGAAATATCCCGATCCCATGTATTTGGATGGGGGGAATCAGTCGCCTCTCTGACTTCAGCCCAGCCTTAATGCCTGGCCCATTAAAAACTTTGATACCATCCGAGCAATTATGGATGGAGTAGTTTTTTTTTTCAAATAGAGATTTTACATCTAACTTAATTTAGAAAGTTTATGATTAAATACCCTTTGAGATAGTCCCTATTATGAAGAATATAGACAAGGAGTCCAATCTCCATATATGAGGTATATGGTATTTTTGCCCGCGAAGTGCCGGAACTCGCCGCGGATTGTTTAAACTATTTTTTATTGTTAATAAGTTGTTAAAAAAGGCTATTATCAATGTATTTGAACAAAAAAAGGTTAATGGCCCTGTTTAAATATTTTCTCATTTGTCATCGGTTGATTGAAAAATAATTTTACATAAAAATCGAAATTTAAAACTCATTTTCGGCATGATAAAATTGCAATTACGTGCAATTTGAATGAAAAAAAAATTTTGCCGCAATTGGAATCGAACACCGTTCTGTAAAATAACTGTCGAACCTTCTGACTATAGAGCTAGCATATTTTTATTTGCTTTGTTTATGTTTAGATATCGTAAGCTTCAGGCTTAGTAACAGAGGGTAGGGAATGTGCTTACTCGTCAACTGTTCAAACTCGCAGTCTTCTCTACAAAATACGACGGAGATAGATAGATATATTTTGTGCTCTGTCTTGCTCGTAACAGATTATTCTGAAATTTGTAAATTTCTTGGTGCTCTGAGGCTCCTTTTTCTGTAGTGCATCCCTGAAAATTATCATTTTTCGAACGATTTCATTGTTACCTACTCAATTTCAATTGATGTCGAGCTTCAGCCTTTTGCCGCACAACGCGAGGGCGTAAAGTCAACTCCGGGAAACTTTCTGACACTACGTTTATTTCTAATTAACTTGGCGTGAATATTTCTAATTAACTTGGCGTGACTATCGATTATATGAACTATCTAATCAATTATCGTTTTATCTACAGCTGTAAGAGCCACACCAAGTTAATTGTGTTTAAATAAATTTTTATGAAAAAAGAGAAATTATTTTTTTAATTCAATTTTTTTTTCTAGTTTTAAAATTTTAAAACGTAATAAGGCTGTCAACTTCCTTCATTTATGGAATTTTTTTTCCATCTCATTATAAAGAGTTTGTCTTTGACTTATGTAAAAAATTACATAATAATTTAACGAAAATTAAAAAACATTTTTATTTTATTTTATTAAATATAATTAATCTTTATGTTTAAATACTTGGCTGCAATGATTTCACGCATTTTTGTAGTTGTTCACATAAAAAAGTTTTATAGAGATCGCACTTGATTAACGACGATTATCGTCTTCGTTATTCATACTTGGCGCGTATTTTTGTGAAGACCGTTAGGGCTGTTTTTGGTGTGATTTTAAGAAATAAATAATAATAGAGACTCGAGTACTACATGCTGTAGTCATGTTTGTCATAATGTTGAACTTAATTTTAGGTAACTAGTTAATGAGTTCTCTATTTATGCCTGATAGATGTAAATAACTTTGTATATATTGTAAAATAAGACTCAATAACAACTTCGGAAAATTAGTAAATTAATTAAAATGTTTATTAATGATTAATAGCAATTAATAAAAAGAAAGAATCCGTGCGGTCAACTCAAGTCTCAGACAAAAACTGGAGATAAACAAACTCTCCCCTCGTTGCTATAAACAATCTAATCGTCAAGCAATCGTTGTTAACTAACAAACTGTCGTTAGTCTAATAGTCATCAGATGGCGACATACAAATATTTTACAATATGTTCAATAAAAAACTAAAAAAAAAAAAAAAAGTGAAACTTACCCTAATGCGTTTAGGTGTGCATATAGCCCTGCCGTATGTGAACTAAAAGCTTGAAAATTATCATTGTTTTCATGATTCTCATGCCTTTCAGAAACCATTGCTATGCCACCTGTCGAGAATGGAAAAAATACGATTCTGTGAATGATCACCTGAAATTTTTCTCGCTAAACTGTGTTTTATTTATTCGTTTTTTTGTTATAAAATATTCGTTTAAATATCCCGAACAATAGTATGTACATCGGAAAACAACGATTTACAGTGTAGGTACAGTGGTTATTGTGAAATAAATCATTTTCTCGTTGACGGCTGATGACAGCGGTATCCGCCATGACACCTCTAAAATCTAGTGAAAAATGAGTGCATATCTTTATCTTCATTTTTAATTATGATGAAGTAATTAATGTTATTGTATTGTTGTTTTCTGATGTGAAGAATAAAATAAGCTTCCGATTAAGTCCTAATTTAACTAAATTTATCCATTTTTGACGCCGTCATTTGTAGAGAAAAATTTGCTAGGAACTTTTTAGGGGGAAATCTGTCTACAGCCCAGCCTTAAGGATTTTGAATTTTTTAGTCTATAACCTATTCAGAATAATTATTTTTCGTGGTTATACTTAATCCGGGATTATAGAGTTCTGGCTCTTTGCATACGTCTTGGATACACCAGGCATTAATGAAGCCGAGTGTAAATAAAGGAAATAAGATTGCGGGGAAGAAAGAAATACGAAGTTTTGTGTATAAGAGTGTCTGCTCGTCGCTTTACATGACAGACAGAGAGAGAGCGACAAAAAGAGGGAGGGGGCAAAAGTGGGGCGTGACATGGCGCGAGTAACGAGCAGTTACTCTTGACTCGAAGCGGTGTTGAATTGTGTTTCTAAATGAAAAGCACCCATCTTCAAGCTTATTGGAGATACATTTTTAAGAAAGCTATTAACGTTATACTTAAGTGTAAAACTATCAAATCTCTCAAAAATGCAGGTCAAGTACGTATTCTATGTATATATATATATATATTTATATATCTAAAAATCTCAATAAGAAATAAAAAGTTTTACATGAAATTATGCATAGTGCTAGTGGAAAACAATCTGAAGGGTTACGACGAGATTTAATATATCTCATTTTTGATTTCTTACGACAAGCCAAGTATGTAAATTTACATTAAAAAAAATATCTGATACATCATGTAAAAGTATAAACCTAGTGTCATTTATGCCGCCCAATTTTTTAAGAGGTATACATATAATTTCCTTTTACTTTCCTATACAAATTTAGGCGGTATTACTGACGCTAGGTGTACGTAATTTGTTAAGATTCATTCAAGTATGTAACGACGAAATTAACTCATAGGTAAAGTATAGTCGAACTACCGAAAGAGTGGTTATGCTGTTATGCTCGAATCGAAGCTAATCTGAACACTCTTTCGGTAGTTTGACTTTAGATATGTGATGATTGAAAATATCAATAATTTTTTAAAAGTTTGACAGAAACTTCGAAATGTTTGAAGAAAGAGGCTCAGCTAATTTCTGATGAACAGTTGTGTGATAATATTGATCTTGAAATTATTTTACACCACTTCATCGATTACTACGTTGCGAAATTCAATAAAATGCCAAGAATTCGAAAAAATGTTGCGAATTCAGTGTCTCAGCATTACAAATGCCCTCGGTAATATTTATTTCATTATCACAAAATATTAACCACTGTGAAATCATTCGAAGTAAATTTTTATTGCAGTAAACATAATTCTCATTCTGAAGTGAAATGCAAATCTGATTCGAAAGTAAACAAAAAATCTCTTGTACATACTACCCATTCAATTTCTAATTTTTTTACAATAACACCGATTTCCCAAAAGCATTTTGTCCAACTCTCTAAGACAGAAGAATGTAATAAAACTGATCACACAAAAAGTGAAATAAATTTATCACTGAAAGGCCTTTATCCAGATAATTCTGAGTTTTATGATATTGCTCAAATCATTATAAAAGTATATATATGTTTATAAATTTGTTTTTGTATAAAAATTTAAATAAAAAAATTTTAACTGTGTTTGTAGGAGGTCATATTAACTAATTTAAATATTTATTGGGCTGACATTTATGGATTAGAGGAATGTAAAAGAATTTTACAAGAAACTATTTTGTATCCAATAAAATATCCAGAGATATTTAACACAAAGTTTACATCATGGCAAGGAATTCTTTTGTATGGACCTCCTGGAACAGGTAATTTTTTCTTATTTTTCTTACCTTACATTACGTCGCATTAATAATCGTTGAATTATTTTAATATTTCTAGGAAAAACTATGCTGGCTAAAGCTGTTGCAACTGAGTGCAAGTGGACTTTTTTTAACGTCACCGCAAGTTTACTAGTAAGCAAATGGCGCGGAGATTCAGAAAAATTCATAAAAGTAGGTCAAGAATATTTGATTATTGACTTTTTATCAGAAAGTTATTGTAATGTGGTTGATTTTTAAATTTGTATTGTTATCATTTCTTTACCTTTTAAAACATTTGAAAGCATATTAGAAGGTTTAAACACGGATGTGTGTACACTCGGCGTCATTAATGCCTGGTCTATCCAAAATTTTGATACCATCCGAGAAATTATCGATGGAGTAGTTTTTTTTTCAAATAGAGATTCCACATCTAAATTAATTTAGAAAGTTCATGATGAAATAGTCTTTTAGATAGTCCCTACAACAATAGACTATCCCCACTAAAAAATTTTTGAACCTTAATTCAAATAATAAATCTTACTCAAATACCAGATAACTTTCAAGTATTTAACGAAATAAACATGGTGAAATACGTGTTAAAAACCGATGGAATATCAATTAAAAAACTTTTATGAATTTTGACGAATATCACGGTTAAATATTTTCGGGACAAACATTTGATACATCATTAGACACAATAAAATATAATGAATGATAATAAAAAATATAAAACAATAAATAATTAATATAGTATATAAAGAACTAATAAAACCGTACAGAGCCCCATATCAGGTTCTTAATGAAATTTAATTAATTAATTTAAAGCCAATCAAGTATTAGTTAAATAAAAAAAGTAAATTTCCGTGCTCAGCACAACAATCCACGCGCAAATGTCAATTCCCTAAAAAATTAAGACAACTTTCAGAGAAAAATTAGTAATTCTTTTAAAATTTTTATTGTAGATTCAATATTTATTAAGAAGAGTAAAAGTAAAAATTCTTATGCAGCACGGTAATATTCGATAAATACTAATTTTTATTCAAACTTTAAACAAAAATTAGTGAGTGACTGGAAAAATAAGAATCTGTATATAATTTATTATGAACCGTGTGGTATAGTTACTTTTTTCAATATTGTAAACAAAGATGACATTCATATTTTTCGTTACGATTTAATATTGGCGGCAACACGTTATATCATTACAATTTATTATAAACTTAAATGGATTGACGCGGTGGACTCATAGTTAAGCGTCAGCTTGACGCACGATGGGTCGCGGGTTTCGAGTTTCGGCCGAGACAAAAGTCATTTATATGATTTTTCTCGGGTCACCGTGAGCGGGAAGAAGATCTATTCGAAGATCCGGGTGGTTGTATCGACGACACAGGTTTTCTGCGTAAGATCTCGATCGTAGAGATATGGGGGGCAGTATTGTAAAACGTGCCATATTCATTCCAACGAATTAATTAGTTAAGAAAGTTAATTATCAATGAACCTAATTTATTTATTTATTTGTTTATATAACCAAAAAAATTATCACTAAACTTAAATAAAATTGTTTGTCGGTAACGTAGTTATCACAGCTAACGTTACTAAATTTTCAGGTGCTGTGGAACACTAAATTTCTTGGTGCTGCCAAAGTAATTTTCAAAAAACTGAATGATACATTTTCTTATGTAACTTATAATTTTTGTATATTGATTATTACTTTTTACTTTTCAGTAAGTTTGAACTCACATTCTTGAGCAGCACGGTAATTTTTGTATGGATTTTTAAATAAAAATAAACGGAATTTTTTCTCCGTGTAGGGCCAAGTAACGTGTTCAATGAAACTTTTTCATCATTTATAGCAATAACAGGCTGTTATGAACAAAATAGAGTCGTAAGAGTACCCTGCTTAGACATTCCTATTGAAAATGGCTGAAACCTATAAGTGAATTCAAAATTTAAATAGAGAACACCATATTTAAATAGGAAAGTTGAGAAATTTTTGCCACCCGCAAAAAATCTAAAAGAATAGCACAAATCCGAATAAGTGAAAAAATAGAGATTGTGAAACTTCCAGAATTCATAACTTTTCTGTTCACGCGACTAAATAGGATTGTGATGATTCTAAAAGGTAGTTAGCAATTCTATACAAAACGAAGAATTTCTATAGGAAATGAAAGAAAATACTTGAACAGGCGACTAAGTAATTAAAAAAGATAATACGATTGAGAAATGTTTTTTCAATTATCTATTTAACCTCGATAGGATTCTACATTATTCAGTACGATTGACTTCTTCAGCATTCAATAGGAGATAAATAGATCTCAATAGAACGCCTTTAGAAATCTGTTGTCAATACTCTCTTCTCTTTTTTATGCATTGTATCAATTGGATAGCGTAGTTTTGATAAGGAATATCCCAATGAAAGAATATTTTTTACGTCACATTCTCCTTTCAATCTATTCATTCCCCCATAGGAACTTAAGAGAATATCCGTGTAAAAAAATATCAAGTTTTAATGAGAAATATTGTCATTAGAAGACCCTAAGTCGTATTTCGTTTTTTAATTTTTTTACAAAGAATTGAAAATCATGATAAAGCAAGCATTTCTAATAAAAGTAATAACACTCTACTTGATATATCAAGTAAATACTCATACGGATAGTACATACAGTCAGATTCCTCTAATTTTCGATAAATATATAATTTCTAAGTTGCATTTTACCTGTCATATGTTTATAAATGACAATTATCCTCTTTCTACTTCAAAATACTTACTAAAAATCAAAATTGATGAACGTTTAAATTATTTCAAATTTTTAACTTAAAATGATTAGGCAAAAGTTATGTTTCCATGTTTTAGAGTAGCTTAGTCGGCAACGTACTGGACTGTGGACCCCAGGATGCTAGGACGAATCTCACCATCAGCAGGATTTGTTCAGACAAAGTTTCTAATAAATTTCATTTGAAGTGTACATTTAAACAACAAATCCGTATAGATAAAAAACCTCGAGAGTAAGTTATAAACTTTTTCTTGGGTAAACTTATTTTTTTTTTTGAATTGCCTCTTCTTAATCGGGAGATGATAATCTTAAAAGTCCTATTGAATTCACTAAAATTCTGTTGAAGGATCGAATGGGATGCTTAAGTATTCTCTAGGCAATCCTGAGACAACAATATTCCCATTGAATTCTATCAAATCCTATTGAAAAATTGAATAGGATTCAGGCCATTTCTATAGGGAAAAAAACCTTCGATAGGATTCAATAGGAAATTTCCGATACAATTTTTTCAATGAACTTCCTACTTCCAATAGGATTGTTCAAGCAGGGTAGTCATAGAGTCATCAGATACCTCACTTAGCTGATATTAAACGAATTCCACTAAGAAATCTTACATCTGAGAAGTGTAAACAACACTCCTACCAATTTTTAAGTTAATTGGTGTCGGTACGTCAACAGAAAACAATATTGAAAAGTTTCTTGTTAAGGTGATGGTCCCATATAAATCAAGGCACTCAATGTTAATTTTATTTTACATAGTAAAGAGTAAATTTCAAGTCTACTTCCAAGCGGCAACTCTTTTGATACGATTACTGTACCTATATTGGAAGATTCAAAAAATCATTTAAATTTTGTGCACTACTCAGAATGGCATCCCTTCGAATTTTGAAAAAAAAATAGTGAGTACTTCACAACAAAGGATGTTTCAAGCGGTAACTCAATAGGCCCAAGATTTTGCAGCGGGCACTCGATCTATCAGATGTAACCGAATATATTCAGTTAAATACTAGAGTTATTTTTCAGCTTTTTAACTGGTTTTCAATCGAAAAAAATAGAGATAAATGAAGATCTATTTTATTTTTTCCGGGTAGCTAAATTTTTTTCTTCTTTTCGTTAGGAAGTTAGTAATATGAACCATTCATGCCACACCCAGACCACTGGCGAGCACTGATTTCTTTTGTTGTTTCTGTTTGAAACTTAAATGAAAAGGCCAATTTCAATCTTAAATTCTTCGTCTAATTTACATCAAGTTATTGCGTAGTTAGAATAAAATTATGTTGCATTCTACATTAATTTCCGAACTGATTTCACTACATTGTTGAAGTTGTAATCGATAATTCTTCTTCAATTTGGATGCTTGAATATCGTAATTCAATGATTCTATTATTATTTCAAGATTCTATGTGAGCTAGCGAGGCATTATTCACCATCTATCATTTTCATAGATGAAGTTGATTGGACAACAGGAAGTGATACAAATAGTGAAAAAAACTCAGAACCAATGCGACGTTTTAGAGCTGAACTATTGACTGGATTTGACGGCATTATTTCTCTAGATAACAATAATGTTACATTATTGGCGGCTACCAACACTCCATGGTAAAAAAGTTATTTTTTAAAAAAAAAACCTCAATCTCAAATGTATTATTTTTTCATTTGTTAACAGGAATCTTGATACTGCATTACTAAGACGTTTTGAAAAACACATATTAGTGGATCTCCCTGACGAATGTACTCGAAAGCAAATTTTAAAATACTATACAGCATCAAATCTTCACGAACTCGATGAATTCGATTCATTAATTAAAAATACCAAATACTACTCTGGGTCTGATCTCAAAAGATTGTGTAAAGAAGCTTGGATGAATCAAACAAGAATATACATTGAAAACATGAATAAGAAAAATAGATCGGCACATTTATCAGAATCAAATATTCATTCGATCAACTCGATTTTTTTCCTTGAAGAGGCATTGAAAATTTTATCTCCCACTACAAAACATCTTATGGAAAAATTTTATAATTGGAAAAATAGGAAAAATTGAATCCATTCTTAAATTCATATATATTTATTTATTCAGAATATTCGTTAATAATCTTTGCACTTTGTATGACACACAAACTAAATACATAAGAAATAATATATTTGACACATTAAAACTGTTACAGATTATTAAAAAGTTACAGTCAATCATATGTAATTTTAGCTGATTGGGTTTGATTAATATTTGATGATTATTCCGCTTTTTCCCGTTTTTCGTGTGATCTCAATCGTTGAACTTGCCCAATACCATGATAGTAACCTGTTAAAGATCAATAAAAAATAATTTCTAAAAATTTGCAATGAGTGAAATTCATTTTACAGTTAAAAACTATTAAATTAGAATGAGATTTAACTTAAGGAGGTTCTTGCACGACTAATAGTATAATATGGGAAAATCCCATGGCAAAATTTAATTGAAAAATATATGACAAAATTTGGTATTAAATAAAACTTGACAATTAAAATTGATTGGCTACAAAATTATATAATTTTCAATCATTTGTTTGCAAAAATTTGAATTTATTTGTGCCATTGGGTTCAGTGTTTAACCTAACTTTTAACTCAACGTTATACACTTATTATTGCTAAATTAAATGGTGAAATCTATTGATAAAGCGAACTTGGTTTTTTGGAATTATTAGCTATGACTTTAAGAATTTTTTAGATTAATTTTTAATTTCAGTTAATGCAAGAACGTCATCAATTTGTTACTTGGAGAAAACTTTACAGTAAAATTTATCAAGTATTTAGTACTTAATACACAGTAAAAAAATTTGTGTTCTGTGTAAAAAAAATGTAGGAGTTAAAATTTTTGTGTTAAATGAGCAACACAACCCTGTGTTAATTTAATATTTATTGTTTGTGTTAAATGAAAGTATTGACACAAATTTCGATTTAACATAATAAAAATGTCGATAAGTTATGAACAACACAATGGTAACACAATTTTCGTGTAACGAAAAATGAATGAAAAAAGTACATTTTTTCGTGTATTTTCAACACGAAAATTGTGTTATACATTAAAGTCAATTTCCAATGTATATTGAATACATTATTAATACGAATAATTTTAACAATAATAAATAATTACGAAAATGGGAATAAAAGTTCCATTGCAAAAATTTTTCCAAATGAGTACTTTGAGAGATATATAAAATTTAAAAACTTAACATTAAGCCAATCAGGTGTAAGTCGCCGGTGACAAAAAGCCGAGTACGTTAAATAAATCCACTCGAATGAATAAAAATGAACACAGCCATTTTCGAAAACAAAGAGTAAGGAGACGGTTTGTTCTTGAAATCATTAAAGCTTATTTCAAAGTAAGAAGAACAGAGTATTCTTTCATACTCTTAATAATGCCATTTCTTATCTATTCTCTTATACTCTCATGCATTTCTTCATCCACTCTCTCATACTCTCTTTTACATATTTCTTCATCTATTTCATTAGACTCTCTCTCTCTCTCTCTCTGTAAATACACTTACACACTTTTCTTTTTCGATCTGTTTCTTTTGCCTTCGGGCTTTTTGGTTGCAGATTACACATGCTATTTTTTGCGGTTTAAAACACCGCATAATAATTTCAGCACGGGATTGCTTGGTGACTGCATATTGTTACGATTTGTGTCCCGGACCTGTCAATTTTAGCCACCTTTGAGGTTATTTGCTGTCTCTTACATCTTTCTACTTATTGCACTATTTTGTGGTGCCATCATCAATCCAGGTTTATGCGCAGATTGCCTTCTAGATCTACCCATCCCAGTTCTACTGTTGTTTTTCCCAATCGTTGCCTTTGTCTTCTTCTTCTTTTTCTTCCGCAGTGCCCTCTCTTTGACTGGCGCTATCAGAAGGACATCTAAACCTAAGACTACTGTCTCTATTGCTGTGAAATGTACTGATGCTCACCTTGTGCAATCTGCTATTGCTGCCAAACGCAAGCTCGGCAAGTTGTCTTCATCCATGCTTATCTGTGCAAACCTACCACCGGATGCCAGGCCGATTTCTTCTCGAGACTTCGAGGTCTGGGTTAATAAGCTGCTGCCCTCCAGAGTGTTTCAGTTACTTGGGAAACCAAAGGCTACTCTCAAGAAAATAGGCTGGCAGCGATTTATTTATCGGCAAAGCAGTGATAAACTCATTCTACTTCACCCCAATTTGTTGTGTGCGCAGCTGGATGTGTTGTAGCAGTCTCTTAGTATACTCACTAGCAGTTGGTGGCCAGCAGGAAACCAGAGAAAGGAGTACTCCATCAGCAGCCTTCAAACGTTGGTGGTGGAGCAAAAGCCTATCATCTGTAGCAGCCATTGCTGTCACTGGGACTACGAGGGACATTGCCAGTAAGCAAAATACGCTTTTGATACTTCATTATTTATTTTAATGACATTGGTTGATTATCGGTGGTGACACCCTACGCAAGACTTAAGCTCCCATTTACTTGTTTATTCATGAATTATTGTCGGCTCAAAGATAGCCGGTTCAATCAAGTAAACTGTTCAAGGTCTTTTATAAAATCAATTTCTTATTATATTAGTCGATAGAACCTGATTGTTTTCTTACCTAGTGCCCGAATTAATAAAAAATTGTATTTCAATTCATGGAAATTTCATTAACTTTATATAAATTATATCTAATTGTTTCAAATTAAACTAAACCCTTGAATTATATATCCTATTAATTATTTATTTTTTTTTAACGATAGACACTGCTTCGAAGCGCAACAGTCAACGCAGATTGAGAACCACTATTTGTTTATCATTGCAGTATACGTGGAGCCTATGTGTAGTAGCAGAAAAAAATTTTGGTGGGGAAAAAAAAAGAAATTGCGAAGAATTGCATAGAGATACTGGTCGGCAGTGGTATGAATATTATGTGAGACTATTAAATGAAAAGAATAACCTTAAAGACCTAAAGAGAACTTTATAGTTGAACCAAACCCTACCTCTGAGATAGACATTAAGATATTGATTATTGTTAAAAGTAAAGAGATTCCTCATTAATTCATGAATGGCAGAATGAGGACTGCCAAGCACCCATTAAGTAATATTTGGTAGAATTTTGAGACTCCCACACAGGTTGCTAAGCTGGCCTACATCTATCAGTCGAAGGTCAGTGAAGATAACTTAGCTGTGACGGTGCAGCACTTCAATACAGTTCACATATGATCTTATATGATTGTATATGAAACATATATGATTTTATCTGTAACTTTTATTGGCCATGTACGTTATGTGAACGATCTTACACGTTTCTTATACGATCTATATAAAATCATATATGCCCCATGAATGCCCCATGCCCCATGATCAATATGAGGTCATATATGAACCATATAAAGCCAATTTCCTGTACACAAACATACGAATGGCATTGATAAAGCTAAGTATACCCATACGGGAGTCGTAGCATGGCTACAGAAGTGAACACACCTACCCTGCTGTGATGCCTCTAATTTCTTTTATGATAATTATTGCAAATAGCTATAGAAAAAAAAGAGTAATCAGTTCACAAAAGTTATTAGTAAATATGTATTATTCATACAAGAAATATATTAATAATAAAAAAAAACATAGACAGCTCTATGAAGAAAGAAGAAAACGATATAAGCATCGGGAAGAAGCGGGGCCGTAACGAGTTTAATGCTAGGTCAGTTGACATAAGAGGAATTAACAGTAACCTAAAAGAGATAGCTGAAATCATAATCGAAGTTGGAATAAGCAAGGAATCGTTCAGGATCAGCATAAAGGATCAAGAAAATCTAACTATAAATTATCTCAACCTGCACAGTTTCAACTTGTTTTTAGTGCAAGTAAATTACTACTAATATTTAATTTATTTATTTTGAGCCAAAAGATTGATAACTGATGAGCTACGCCGTAGGATGTGGTCAGGAGAGGTGCACATACACGAATAACACCTTTCTTGCGCAGAAAGCACTTTTTATTATGAAGAATATACTATTTTTACTGTTAACAATGAACTCTTAACCATAGTAGAGCTTAGTTGGAATGTTTTAATCCATCTAGAGCTGATACGAGAGCTTCCAACAATATATAATGAGAAAAACAGAAATCGCGGTAACAAAGCACGTGTACTTGAGCGTCGCGTGAGCGTTGATGACTGCAAACACGTTGTAGCCGGCGTCGGTGGACCTAGCACAATGATAGAGCAACGATCATTGACTAGGTTGGAGAAGAAGAGCCGTGATTGGTTAAGCGCTGAAAGAAGAGCTAGGATACGGCGAGCGGGTCGGGTGAGCTCGACTAAGCACGAGCTGGGATAATTATTTGAAATATATATTGTAAGAGAAGCTTACAATGAATAGCAATAAAACTTAAGGATTAAGGTTAACGATTATTACTCAAGTTATTCTTTGAGTTTTTCCAAGATTTCTTTAAAATAGAAAGAATGGTTGAGGAAATCATTTTTTTGATATTTTATTGCTTTTGGAAAACCCATGTGGCGAAAAGCAATAAAATTTAAAAAAAAAAGTACGTGACGTAAAATGAGCGTTAGCTTTCTAAAAAAGGAAAGACCATGCGAAGGGACTTGTGTGCGCCTGAAGCAAGGGACTTCTAATTATGTCACATCTCTTGAAATCGTAAGTCTTAATTTGTCTTGAATATTGTATTGATAATATTTCAAAGTTTGTAAATTTTCGTATGAAGTTTATTTGATCGTCAAATTATTTAAAGTAACTCGCGAGTAAAAGTGAATAATTGCGCTGACTAGAGCATCGACTAAGGACCAGTTAATTGTAATTCATCTTGAACAGAGTAAAAGAAATCATCTGTTGGTAACGATTACATTATTATAATAATTTTTCAATAAATTTTATTATGGTTCTTATATAAATCACACATTTTCACTTTCTCTATCAAAGATCCCCTCATCCCTGTCTATTACTTGGAAGGCTAGGACTTAAAAGAGGAACTTGAAGTCTCTAAGAGTCAGCATATGGTTTACATATTGACATCTTTAAAGAGCAAAATTACATAACAATTTTTGGGGGCTCATCCGGAATTGCAATGATTTTCTATATAGTAATAGTTTAAATGTCTGATAACTCTGGATCATCTGATAATAATAAAAAAGGTTATTCGTTGGGAAATACCGGTGATCCACTATATCCTGAAGGTTTAGTTCCGCCCGCTAGACCTAAAAGTTTTAAGTTTATTGATTCAGGCATCAGTGATTTAACAAAAATATCAGAATCGAGTGAAATTCAAATCTATAAAGATAATACTGATAAAGCCGTAGCTCAATGTTCTGTTCAAAAATTAAGAAATGATATAGATCAACGAATGTCTCGATGTGACAACGTCACTGAGGCCTTAGAAAAGGCAATAGAAATAGAAAGACGATTGATTGCGCGAAAAGAAAGTCGTGAAGACCAAAATAGTACAAAAATTAAAGAAAATAAAAAAATCCTCTATCGAAGATCCCCTCTTCCCTGTCTATTGCTCGAAAGGATAGTGTTGAATGTCTCAAAGACATCATCCACAATGTACGGATGATGAAATTGAGATGGTGGCCAAACCTCCTCGAGCACTTGATGTTCTGAATTGAATGACTCGTGCAACGCTGTGAGTTGTTTCTCCAGCGAGAGTCTTTCTTCTTTAGTGATTGTCTGTTGTTGGTCTTTGATTTGCTGAGTGAATGACTGGGCTAAGCGTAGCCGAGCCATTTGAGATTTGATCTTGAAGGTCAATTGAATCGGTAGACCAGGATTTGATGGTGTGATTGTCTGTATTGTGCTTTCAGTTGTCGATCTCCGTTGTGGCTGGAGATCTGGTTCTTCTAGTTGATCAGTTGGACTACCAACTCCTCTACGCCATCGTCAGGAGTCACGCTAATTGTTGGTTGAGGTCTTGGACTCTTGGTCCTCACTCTCTTTTTGTTGGTCGGCCATTTTGTGCACTTGAACACTTGATTGTCTTTGTCCTTTTCACTTGTGGCACCAAAATTTTAGTACTTCACAACCGAGAGCTCTGATCCGGCTCGAAGGACCATTAAATGTTGAGAAAATCTCAACTTGTGAATTAACCTAACCGTTTAAGGATAGGGATGATTGTGCCGGAACAGAGCAAACGGAAGTCAGGTTTTATAAAAAATAAAGTATCTTTATTTTAAGCACTAACAGGTACACTAAGTATACTGACAAACTTGAGTTGTTAACTAGGAAGACTGAATGTCGCTCAAAATCACTGAATGTCTAGATTTAATTCTTGAATCTGAATTGAATGTCCAAAACACTACTCAACTTGGTGTGTTCGGTATTATTGACCTCCCACACGAGCTCAGCACGCTTCTCAAGTTGAGCAAGAATGTGATTGTGCACGTGGCGTTAGCCTATCAATGCAATGCAAAATGAATCTTGATGAAATGTCTTGAATTACACTGAAAAATCTTGAAATGTTTCTTGATTCTAGTTTTAGAATGAAACTTGAATGGCTCTGATGATTTTCAATGGCACTAGTACTGATGATTGACTCAAACTTGTAAGATTTGTGAAGAATGAATAAGAATGGCGTGTACACGTGAACGAGAACAGTGAAAGAATGGCGACAGGAACTTCATTAGTCAAAAGGGACACTCAAAAGTAGTCAAATGAGTGGCTAGATAAAGAATTATTGATTATTAGGTCGATTGGTTATCGACCCAGTCCCAAGATGGCCGCCGAAGTTCCTGTCAGCTGGCAAATTCAAATTGAGAATTAATTAATTCTCAACAGATAGGACTCAAAAGAGGAACTTAAAGTCTCTAAGGTTAAGCATATGGTTTACTTATTGACACCTTTAAAAAGTAAAAATACATAACATCTATTTTAATTTAAACTAGCAGATATTGAGTACGCGTATAATTTTAAAGCAACGGACTAGGGTGGTTTCAGAAATAATGTTGGAATTAAATGGACTTAGTCTCAGAAAGTAAAGATTTAAACACGGTAGAAATTGAATCTTACTCAGAAGAAATCCAAAATAACATACTCGAGACCATTTCGGACTCCGTTCTACTACACAAAGCAGAAGATAGTGTCTTACATATTATGCAACTTACACACATTACACACTTGCAACGAGAAAATAAGAGCTTCATAGTTACGTCTGTAATGATGAAAAGGTTAGCTCAATACTAAGGCGGCTGCCTAACAAGACTTCTTCAAGGAGAAATATGATTCCACCTATTATATATAAACACTTTCTTCGGAACGTAAAAATAGCAATAACGAAAATATTGAACAATTGCCTAAACATTCATTATTTTCCAGCATCTTGGAAACTGCTGAAGTACTACCACTACAAAAACCTGGCAAGGACCATGCTGATTCTGGGAGTTACAGGCCGATCAGCCTCACTTCTAGCATTAGCAAGGTCTTAAAAATAGTAGTAAATCATGAAGGTATGCAATGAGAAAAATTTAATTCCTAATAACAAATATAAGTTCAGGAAGTCCCACTTGACAGTACACGCCATCAATAAATTTATTTCTGACTTAAATTCTGCTATTTTGAAGAATAATATAGGTCAAGCCATCCTTATCAACTTGGAAAAAGTATTCGATTCAATATGAATCAATGGTATCTTATATAAATTTCATAAATTTGGCTTTCCAAGGTTCCTTACTCCAACTATTCTAGATATGATAATCGATAAATCTTTCATAACGTGGGATGGCCTAAACACATCTTCAGTTAAATTTAAAATGTGAGAGGGTTTGCAGCAGGAGGCAGTCAATTCACCTCTTCTTTTCAACATATATACAGCGGACTTAATGAATGAGTTCAACTTATGCAAAGGCAACGAAAATAGAGCTAAAGCTATAGCTCTTAGTATTCTTTCTAATAAAATCAAGAAATTTTATGCGTCATAGGTGGTATAAACCTTGTCTCGTACTTAAGTCCAGTCTCAAGTTCTTATATGTATAACATTCTACAAAACAATGTAACATTCAAATCCCATTAATAATTTTAATCCAAATCGTATTCCTTTAATAAAATGATGATCACAATTTATTATTCAAATAACAATCATTGTAAACAATTTAACACGTCTTAATATTTTGATTATTGAAACTGAAGTGACATTTAGAGGACATTTTCGGTTGTTACTAGCAGGTAGCAACATCCCTTCTTTTACATTTTTAATTAAATAATTAATTTTGATTGGTTAAAGTAAAATCAATATCAATTTCTTTTTATTTGCTTTTAGTTTGTAATTAAATATTTTTGCGAGCGATGCTTCTGACAAAGATTTATATTTCTTGCATACTAAATTATATCTGAAGTATTGTAAAACGCAATCAAAATTGATCAGAAATATCTCTTAAAATGATTAATAATAAAATTTAAATATATTTCTTAATTATACATTTTGAATTCAAAAACGTGTAGGTGAGTAGTGCCACATGACGTGACAAGAAACAAATAGAAATTAGTTCTACTGAAAAACATCAAATTCTATTAAGAAATGTTAAAACAAGAAAACATTTTACAAGTCGTGTTTTCCTTTTGAATCGATTAATTTTCTACAGTTATTGTTTCCATTAAAATAATATGAAATTCTATCGTGGGACATTGAGATAAAGATATAATTTGTAAGTTACATTTGACCTGTTATATCTTTACAAATGACAATTATTCTCTTTCTGCTTTAAAATAATTACTAGGAAGCAAACTTGATTAACGTTTAAGTTATTTCAAATTTTTAACTTAAAACGATTAGGCTAAATTCATGTCTCCATATTTTAGAGTAGCTCAGTCGGCAACGTATTGGACTGTGGACCCTAGGATGCTAGGACGAATCTCACCATCAGCAGGATTTGTTCAGACAAAGTTTCTAATAAATTTCATTTGAAGTGTACATTTAAACAACAAATCCGTATAGATAAAAAACCTCGAGAGTAAGTTATAAACTTTTTCTTGGGTAAACTTATTTTTTTTTTGTTGTAATAAGATTCTATTAAAACGTTCAATAGGTTTACCCTTGATTTAATATGAAATTCTAAGACAACAATATTCCCATCGAATTCTATCAAATTCTATCAAAGCATCGAAAAGGAATTGCCTCTTTTTAATCAGGTGATTGTAATCTTAAAAGTCCTATTAAATTCACTAAAATTCTGTTGAAGGATCGAATGGGATGCTTAAGTCTTATCTAGGAAATTCTGAGAGAACAATATTCTCATAAGATTTAGCGTACCTCAATGGGATGACTGAAGAGAATTTAGCGTTTCCCAATAGGATAATTGAATAGCATTCAGGCAATTTCCATAGGAAAAAATTTTTTCCATAGGATTCAATAGAAAATTTCCGATGCAATTTTCCTATTGAACTTTTTTCTTCCAATAGGATTGTTTAATCAGGTTTATTTTGTTAGCATTTTCCGATATTCAAAAAAGAGTCTAAATCAGCTTTCATATTTTGACTTCCGAAGTTCTCATTGAAGTGCATAGAAAAATTTAACTTATATGTAACTAAAAACTTCTTTTAAACTAACCTGTGTGAAAACCACTGATATACCAAGACATTAGCATACTGGAAAGCGCATCAGAACTATTAATAGGAAGTCTGAAACAAAAGATTGAAAATTAATAATTATTTCATGTGAAATAAGATTTATTAATCTATTACTGTGTCAATATTTGAGGTGGAAGTGGTGGCGCTGTCGGCATTTCAAATTCAGAAGTAGCCGATAAATTTGATGAAAAAGACTTATAATACGAATGGATATCATCATTCGTTGAATGTCTGTTTCCAGCGCGATCATTATTATTTTGTTTGTTCGCATTATGTTGCTTAGAAATATCAGTCGAAGAAACAGAAGTTACGTGTTGCTCTAAAGAACTTTTTATGTCTCTTGAAGTATATAAAGATGAAAGTTCTACTTTCTCTATGTTTCCATAACCTGAAATAACGTTTTTTTATATATCATCACATTTATCTTATAAATATAAACATTTGAATATATTACCGACGAACTTGACAAGACATTTATCAATATCATGGAATATTTTTATGATGATTGCTTCATACATTCTACCATCCAACGAATAGACGGCTCGGCAATGAGACCCAACAACCCATTTCTGTAAAATAGATAATATGAATAAGTATATATTAATTTAATTACTTTTAGATAGTATACAGAACAAAATGAATCATTTATCTACAAAAATTGATAAATATTGATTGAGAATGATATCACTCGAACGTTTTCAATCTTACTCTATTGAATTGATCAACAGTGTTATCTAAATATTCATGGAGATACCTATCATTCAACTTTGACTATTCAATTGTCAAGACTTCCAATGTTTAATAATTAAATACTTTATCCCAATGTATCTGTTACCTAGCGGAAAAGCAATAATTATGTACATCACATAATAATTAAATTTCATGTGATTGTTATGTCATAAAACGAAGATTAATAATTTTCTCTTGATGACCATGAAGCATAAAAAATCTGGTACTATTTTGATGACAGTTCACTTTTTAATTAAATTTTATTAAAATAGTAGTTCATAACGTAAAATGCTCAATACCAATATCCTACATGGATTAAGCTTTATTTTGACACCAAAATCAATGGATATGATTACAAATTAGCTGATAAATTAGTTATTTATCGACTCCATGGGATTCATTCAGGGAAAACTGAAAGTCCACTCTTAAGATCCAGAATTCAGATCTTATGATTATCAGGTGACATGTTTACTTTAGTAGTGTCTTGTGAGTTAAGTTTGAATGCTGGTGACGAAGACACCACCGTGCCTTTATTCTGTTTAAATCACAGTCCGTTGAGGTTATGCACATTGAAATTGCAATATCTTTAATCATCTATATACTACTATGAGAATTTCTAGTGCCTGACTGTCTGTCTGTTAATCTGTTCAGAGTAATTTCCAGAGCGGCTGATGTGATTTTGACAAAATTTGGCAAACATGTAGAGGGCATTGTGAGAAAGGTTATAGCCTACTTTTTGTTTATGTCAATTGTTTATAACAACTGAATTTGTTATAAACAATAAAAAACGTGATCTTTTCAATATATTTAAACTCTTTTCACGGGAAATTTTTTCTTTTGCTGAAAAATTTCCACCCATGTTACATGATTAGTAACTTTTTTTAATGAAAGAACAGATATTCCGTTAAAAGAATTCAAATTGCTTCTATACATCCCATTTTCGATTATTTTAAACAAATTTAGTCATTGTAAACAAATAAAGTTAATATTAATCTATGTTACATGGCACGTAATTTTTGTTCTAGTAAAGGAAATAATATCCCGTTGAAAATATTCGAATCAGTTGCATGAATCTCTTTTTTATAACAAAGTCAAATATTATATGCTGAAACTAAGCTGTAGCTGAAATAAAACAAGTAGTCAGAATTGTTCAAATTTTGACTTGGGAATGGAACCAAATTAATTAAAATTCTGAAAAAATGATTGATAAGAGTATCAATGATTGAATAGAAATGATTTGAGACGAGGATTGTAGCGATCTCGTGCTCAGCCTGTCAATGCTCGCAATGGGCAATCGATTAACATCGGGTGCCGTCGGGCGACGGCGTGAATTAAGACATCCCTCAAAACAGATGACCCAATTAGGGAACGTGCAGTGGCCCCACTGCCCTAAATTATTGATTAGTAGGGATACACGGAGATCGTGCGGCAGCAAGAGAACAAGCTGCGAGACACTCGAGAAGTAACAATAAAAGTAAGAGTGCCTCATCGCAATCAAGTTACTGAAGTTGGTGAATTACTACAAGAAGAATAGTTCAGTTGTGAACATTGGCAAGAAGAATAGTTCAGTTGTGACCCATTGTCAAGAAATCTCGGGCGAGAGCAAACCAGATGTCTGGAGGAACAAGAAAGACCGGCAGAAGCTATCGTCGTCCATTCGGAGAATTCGACGAGGCGGATACGACGCAACAAGCGTGAGCCCGATCTACATCTTAATAATTCTTGCATGCATTTCGTGTCATTTCGACTATCTTCTTATCTTCTAGTCATTTACTCTATACCTTACGTTGTTCTCCAGTAACTAACGCCTTAAACTCACAACTTAACAAAAGACTCGAAGGTTCGAGAAACCGTTGCTGGCTAAGGTCACGCATTGTTATCGTGTGTACGGCAGACTCAATAAATTGTAAACAACGGATAACGACCAACATAAATACTCCCTGAGAGATTTACGTTAGAGCATCTTTTAAGTATAACGCTCAATTTAATTGTTACTGTCAATTATAATAAGTCAATTAATTTTGTAATCGTATGTGGTGTGGCGTTGGAACGTTCCGCGTATGATTCTTTAGTAACCTGCAATAGAGTCGCGACAGTTTGCGAACTCAAATTCAATAATTGTAATTATTATTATAAATAAACTAGAGGTCCTGCTTGCAGGCCAGTTAATTACTTGACTTATTTCACGTACCATTAACCAGTGGAAGTCTGGTATAAGACTTCCTGGCGCATTACGGGCATAAAAAAATTTACAAATTAATAGTTCAATTCGTGAGTGGGCAAATTCTGGGCTATGAGACATCAGGTATAGGTGGCAACAGCTAGACTGGTGGACTCATTGTCTCAGATTTAATTAGTAATTTCCTAGATTAAATGAAATGATTAAGATATACATTGCTATATAACATATAGCGAAAATTCCATTCTTTATTGTTTATAACAAATTCAATTAGTTATAAACAAAAGGAGTAGGTTTCTATGCATTTAATGTAATTCGTGACTTGATTTTAGTAAAACAAAGAATTACGCATTGAAAATGATAAAATAAGTGTGGGATGGAGGAGAATTTTTACCTCTAACATCTCTGTATTATTTTTCCCTACAATTAATAAATCATCGACATACAATAGTAAATATCATTCATCCTTCTTATACATACAACAATCGTTATTAGATCTGACAAACCCATATTTTGCAATAGTATCATTAAAGCATTCATACCAATACTTTAGCGATTTTCTTAAGCCATACAACGACTTATTTAATTTTAATACATAACCTGATTTCACAACAGCACCTTCCGGTGGTTTCAAATATATCTGATCATCAATTTTCCTATATAAGAATGTACCTTTTACGTCCATTTGATGTATTTGATAGTCTCTATAACACGCTATTGATAACAACACTCTCAAGGTCTGCAGTCTTAATACCGGAGAATACACTTCACTCAAATTGTTTTCTTGTTGAAATTCTCTCACAACTAACCTGGCTTTGCATACTCTTTTACTATTTATTTCTTTCATTGCAAACATGCATCTACAGTTCAATAATTTTTCAATAGATTTCCTCCTCAACAGCTTTTCTCCATGCTGCTCGGTCTGGTCGTTCTTCTATCTCATTTAATAATTTTGGTACATCATCCCAACTTTCAAGTAAAGCATACAATGCATTCTTATCTTCATTACTTAGATCCATGACATAATCTTTTTGCCAATGAGGTTTTCGAGTCTGCCTTCTAGCTCTTCCTGAAACAGGAGTATTTATTTGTTCATGTTCGTCGCTCTTTTCATCATGGTTTTCAATAATGATTTTTGGGACGGATATAATAATATAATACACATTTGTTAATCTGCACGATTGTTTTCTTTTTCCTATCTTACAACACACTTTCTAATTTCCTATTTTAATTGCTTCAAGGCTCATACCGTTTTTTGACGCTGCAATCTGCTTTGGTTTCTACAACTCAATATATTCTGAGAACTTTGAGGATACTTTTAATTCGAAACGCCCAAGCACTAAAACTTCTCCCGGCAAAGGCCGTAATATTATAATATCTTTCTCTAGAGTTCATCCTTTTCCTGATCCTCACCACTTTCTTCCACACTTATTTTTTTTTTCTTAATTTACTCACTTGCGACTCTGGGCCCATAACCCTAATGAAATAAGTGTGGGATGGAGGAGAATGGTGCAGTAAATAATCTGCACAGTTTCCTAGTCACTATTACATTTATTATAATACGTATTAGATAGCTTATCAACAGGGCAATTACAACTGTCTTGACGGAAACTGACTAACATAAGACAGAGAGCCCTTTGCTTCTCCCTCTGTCACCTACCAGTACAGTCTTATTAAAAACTGTAAGATTATCATTTCAACAGAATAAATTCAAATATATCACATAGATTCCATTTTTAATTGTTTACAACAAATTGAATCGTTATAAACAATTAATATAAACAAATCGTAGCATATAACCTTCTTAAGGCTGGGCTGTAGATACATTTCCCCCTAGAAAGTTCTTAGCAAATATTTCTCTACAAACGACGGCGTCAAAAATGGATAAATTTAGTTAATTTAGGACTCAATCGAAAGCTTATTTTATTCTTCACATCGGAAAACAACGATATATTAACATTAATTACTTTATCATAATTGAAAATGAAGATGAAGATATGCACTCATTTTTCACTAGATTTTGGAGGTGTCATGGCGGATACCGCTGTCATCAGCCGTCAACGAGAAAATGATTTATTTCACAATAACCACTGTACCTATACTGTAAATCGTTGTTTTCCGATGTACATACTATTATTCGGAATATTTAAAAAAATATTTTGTAACTAAGAAATCAAATAAATAAAACACAGTTTTGCGAGAAAAATTTCAGGTGATCATTCGCAGCATCGTATTCTTTTCATTCTCGACAAGTGAAAAAAAAAATATTTTACATGCTAAAACATCATATTTGGAATGTAATCACAAATTTTAAAGTTTTTTGAGTTCAGCACAAGCCTTAAAAGTTCTAGATTAGAAACTCAATGTAAAAAAATTATACCCGCGGTCGGCAATTGCTCTCCAAGGATACACCAGGCATTAATGAAGCCGAGTGTACTGAAACATCATATTTTGAATGTTTTCTCGATCATTTTGATATGCTTTGCCAGAGAAGAGAAACCAGTATAGAAGTTCAGTCTTTATAGGAGCTAAGAAATGTAGTCAGCGTTTATATAAATGACCGCAAGATGGCACGTCAACCCGGCATCTCGCCGAGCTGAAGTGAAGGGCGGAGCTTAGTTTCGTTCTCGGGTAGTAGGAAGCGAAAAAAATATAGTTTTT